TGTGTGTGTGTGTGTGTGTGTGTGTGTGTGTGTGTGTGTGTGGCACTGGAACAGGCTGCTGAGTTTCTTTACTCGCTTGTCTGGAGTGTGTGTGTGTGTGTGTGTGTGTGTGTGTGTGTGTGTGTGTGTGTGTGTGTGTGTGTGGCACTGGAACAGGCTGCTGAGTTTCTTTACTCGCTTGCCTGGACCTTGTCTCCGTTCCCTTTCTTCTAGTGTAGATTCACATCTTTCAAGTTTATGATGAAAGGGAGAAAGAATGATTCATCATTAGCTTCGCTCCATAGCCTCATAAATTTTCTACTCTTTACCTAACTAATCATCATCATTACTAATTATGCTCCAGAAAATAAACTGGAATGCAGGCTGGCTTAAGATAGAACAAATCAGTGTTTAAATTGGAGGGGCCGCTGTCAAATGGCCGAGTGACTGAGCACAGCAAATAGGGATTGTTTCTTATTCTGCTTTTGTGCCTGTGCCTTAAGGCCTGGAGCTTGGATAGGGTTGGAAATTGTGTAAGTGTAATCTAATTTTAAGGGAGCTCAACACCAATGAAGTGAACATGCCTTGAAACATAAATTCATGAATAAAATTGCATGTTGGTTTTGTTGAAGAATGATATGTCAGGTCTTGGGCTGGTGCCAAGGGAAAGACTGGACTGTGCTTTTCAAGATGGCGGTTCTTGGAGAATGGTCATTCAGGGAGTGCCTCTGAGCAGGTCACGCAGGGCACTCGAAAACGTGCCTGGGACAGCGGAGGACAGCAACACTACAGTCCTCCTCGCCCTTTACTACTTGATACACGGGCTTTTGAACTTGCTGTATCTTCAGCCACAACTGTCAGCATCTGCAGTGGGCCCGTGTTGAAGCAGTGACTTGCTCCTCTGTCACTCTTGCTATGGCCCCTGGTCTGCAGCAAGGTTTCTGTCTCAGAGACTCAGGCGTTAAGAGCAAAGAGCCTAAGACGCTTAGAGAAGCATCTGTAAGGCTCTCACATTGGAAAAAAATCCCCAGGCTGCATCACAAGCAGAGTATGTAATTGCTCGCCTGCCTTCCTCTCTGCGTGTGGTGATTTCTTGACCTAAAAGTAACCTGTCTGATTTTACAGGTCTAAGTCCTCTCCATAATCCAGATTTTTTTCACTGAGCTGCCTGTTTCCTGCTGCTCTTGGACGGCATGTACTTTGTGTTTATGTTGAAAAGTGTTTAAGTACCTCTAGAAGTTGCTGATGGGCAGTGACTAGGTCTTAGTTACAAGGGAGGAACGCTTAAATAAACAAATACAAGAAAAAATGTATTCATGTTTCCTTCTTAACCTGTTTTCACATTGCCCCAGTTGGTGAAGTTGGGGCTTTATATCCTGCTGCAGCGAGCATTCTGCTTTGCTCATGGTAGATAGTCAACAGGTATTTCTAAAATTGTTTTGGCTTTAATAAGATAATTGAGTAGTAAAATTATAAGTTAGGCTATCCATCACAGTGATTTGGCAAGTTATAGATTATGCAGGGATCTCTCCTCCACCCCTGTCTGGTCGTCAAAAACCTCCATCACCTCATACATTTACCTTTTTTAATTTTTGGTGAGTTCATTCAAGTTCTACTCTGCAAATTTCAGTTATTCAATGCTGTATTTTTGAATTGTGAACAATTATGATAGGAACTTTCTGAGGCACACTTTACTGAGTGTTGCATCACTATATTCCACACTTAATAACTTAGGAGCTCCAAATACAGATATTATAAAATATTACTGTTTTTGATGATCCCTGCCTACTTTTTTTTATTCTAGGCTTTTCCTGTATTCTTCATTTTTATCTTAATGCTTGTATCAGTGGGGAATGGAAATCTTAACTTCACAAAGGAAGTTAGAAAGAACTAAATGTTCCCTTTTTAAGAAAAAGGTGGAGCTTTGCTATGTTAATAGCTCCTCCCTCTGGAGGTAGGTGGGGATTCTAGGACTGGCAATTATTTCCACAGAGTGGCTGAAGGTTCTTTGAAGTCCTGATGCTCCTGTTTTCCCTGAGGAGCAGAGTCGGGCAGAATTGTATTGAACCACAGCTAGACTCCAAGGGGGGTCCTCAACCCCAGTGACATTGATCGAAGGCATTCTGCTGGCCATTGGGACCAGCATTCTGCCATCTGTGGTGAGAAATGCCTGCCTCTGTTGGGACCCTCTTTACTATATAGTACTTGACTGTGATGAGTGAGTGAACACTTGTTTGCATGCATGCTACTTGGTGCAAGCCTAGTGGTAATAGCATGGAAGAACTGGCTGTGAGGCCGTGTCTGATCCTGTGTGCCCGGTGGCCTCTGGAGGTTCCCTGTGCTGTGGGTGTTTTAATTACTGCTGTTTGGTGTTATTGAGGCGACGTTGGTTGACAACGCTACCTGACTCGGGGGAATGGGTTCATCCTGTCACAAATACATCGCCATGGAAAGGGGAGGTCCGAACAGGTGACATTTCCCCTCCCCCACTTAGATACAGTTGTTTCAGACCACAAATCCCAGCATGGGATGAACCAGATTTCCTGATTGGTATCAGCAGGGAAGGAACAGGTGGCTCAATGAAGGGAGGAGGAAATGTGAAAGAGACATACGAGAGAGCCAAAGAGATACTTGGAAGAGATCTGTGGGTGAGAGATGATTTTTGGCGTGGAGAAGAGTCCTGGCCTTTGGCAGAGACAAGGGCAGCTGTTATGTTACGGCCCTGTTGTACTGTGGTATATTTTTGAATTTTGGGTCTCTCCTTCTGTCCTCTATCGCTGGGAACTGCCTAATCCCCCTCTTGTGGCTCCTTGCCAGAAGGTTCCTTAGATTGGGCAAGCTTTTGGACCTGAGTGGCCCAAGTCTGGTCAAGTCTGTTGGGCTAAGCATTTGCCCATGAGAGGATGAGTAATTTGGGGGTCAGGGATGTTATTGGGAATCTGTTCTTTGAAATCTCTCTCTGCTCACAATTTATTAAAAATCTATCACACTAAGAGTAAGCTTCCTTTGCCTCTGTGCACCTGGATGGTCTGAACGCTTTTAGAATATGCACCCCTTAAAAGTTGGGGGTCTCTACGTATCATTCCATCAAGTGATAACAAGTTCTCCTTAGATGTCTGTTAAGACCCCACTATCCAAGTACCCATCACCCTGACCTATGCCATCTTTCCAGTACATTTCAGAAGAATTACCGCATGCCGGGCACACACACCCCGCCCCCGGCCCCCCGATCCACTGCAATGTATAAAACAATGTATAAAACAGCAGGCTCTCTATGAAATTTGGGGCGTTATGGACCCCAAAAGGACCGTTCACCATGGCAGTTGTCAGAGAACTCAGCCACCTTCCACGGGACATTCTGGGAATCCCGTAGCTCATGCGTGGGACATTTCTAAGCTTTTACTGAGAGGCTTGAGCAGTGATACAGACTCATCAGACGTGCCAACTTCTCACCTTGAAATAATTCACTCTGCATTTTTTGTCTCCTCCAGAAACGAAGTCCTGGATGCCCGTGAGCCCCTGACAGCCTCAAGGCTTGGGAAAGAAGGCAGGCAGGAAGGGGGCTGAGCACAAGCTCCCCGGCGCCTTGGCCTTTGCACTCTTGAGCCGTGATGGAGACCCTCTCCCAAGATTCTTTGCTGGAATGTCAGATCTGTTTCAATTACTACAGCCCCCGGCGAAGGCCCAAGTTGCTGGATTGCAAACACACCTGCTGCTCGGTGTGCCTGCAGCAGATGAGGACAAGCCAGAAGGATGTGCGATGCCCCTGGTGCCGGGGCATCACCAAGCTGCCCCCGGGCTTCTCCGTGTCGCAGCTCCCCGATGACCCCGAGGTCCTCTCTGTCATCGCCATCCCTCACGCCTCCGAACACACCCCCGTCTTCATCAAACTTCCCAGCAATGGGTGCTACATGCTGCCTCTGCCTGTGTCCAAGGAGCGCGCGCTGCTGCCTGGGGACATGGGTTGCCGCCTGCTGCCCGGGAGCCAGCAGAAGTCCGTCACCGTGGTGACCATTCCTGCCGAACAGCAGCCTCTGCAAGGCGGGGCGCCCCCGGAAGCGGCGGCCGAGGAGCCAGACAGGCGGGGCGTGGTGAAAAGCTCCACCTGGTCTGGGGTGTGCACTGTGATCCTGGTGGCCTGCGTGCTCGTCTTCCTCCTGGGCATCGTGCTGCACAACATGTCCTGCATTTCTAAGCGCTTCACTGTGATATCCTGTGGCTGAAGGGCGCTGCAGGGAAGTCTCGTGTGGGTACCAACTAGGGGTTGAGCAGGTGATGGTGGTGGTGATGGATCGCAGTGAGACATGGGGGTGGGGAGAGACAGATCATTTGGTGCCAGGCACTGCCTCCGGGCTGTCACTTGATTCACCTGCAGGCAGACACGGAGGGCAGAGTGGAGAGTCTCAGCAGGACACCAGGCAAGTCCCTCTGAGTGTTGATGGCCACGGCTTCGAAGATGATTGCATGCATCCTCATAATCATGTATTAAATGGACTGTACTTTATGATTTTTCAAAGTCACGTGACGAGATAGACATATTCTACTTAGATGTTAAACTGTGCAAGTGCATACAATGTGATCTCTCAATGTGGTAGATTAAAACAAAGATGCTGTGTATACAAGTAGAATTAAACCTGAGAATCCATGTACAGATTCAGCAAAGACATGCTGTGCCGTGTCTTTTCTTTTTTACAATAAAATCCCGTCTTCACTTAGTTGCTAAGGCTTTTTATACTTTTTGAATGGCACCCAAGTTAAAATAAGTTAAATGGACAGTCATTTTTTGAAGAAAATATTTGAACAAGTGTTTCCAACGTGTTGTGTTTTGTCATGTACCTTCATTTTTCTTCCCTTGTAATTAGAGCTCGCTACATGTTTATTAAGCTGAAAGCCCAACAGGGGAGCAATAAACTGAGTAATAATGGGAAATGCCTAATCCCGCAGGAAACCTATATGCCAATTTTTCTCAAGCCATCTCACAAAATAAGAATTTTAAATGTAAATATTGTGTATTTGTGTGTATGTATGTGTGCGTACTTTGATTCACCTCAGGTTTCGAATCTTTTCGGAAGAATCCTGGGAGTAAGACTTCGTGGACAGGAATGAATCAAGGGTCTGAAGTGAAGGCCCTCTCAAGGGCAATAGGACCCAGCTAGTGAGGGGGTCACAAACCCGTCATGCCCAACACTTGCTTCTCTTCTGTGTGTTCAAGTCCTGCATCCTGCAAGGCACAAATGGTGAGCAGCAGAAGATTCTGGCTTCTCTCCCAGTTCGGGGGGTATTGTAACAACCGTGAGTGTTGTTAACGGATGACAGATCCAGGTGGCCATTTTAATAGACCGCCATGATTGTGTTCTGAAAGATAATGATCTGTGAGGGTCGAACCATTGAGAATTCCAGTTTTCTCTTGTTGGTCTAAATGAGAAAATTTCTTGAATTTTAAAATATGTTTTTGTTAAAAAAGTGGCAAATTAACAACTCACATTCCGAATGAAAAGTTCATCATAGCTTCAAAATACCATTAAAGATGGAGTGCCAATAGATGTGAAGAAAGACCTGCTAGTATTAAGTGACACATTCCCATGCCTGTATGTGTGTGCTTCAGAAATAACTGAGCTTTACAGTTCTGATTTCTTTTATGGATTTCATGAAGCAGGCAGTATGTGACAAGGACTCCAGTCATTGATATTATCTGTTGCTGTTTCACTGAACCCGTGAAAGTAGAGGAGGGAAAGATAAACAGGGACTAGTTCCAAAAATTGAGGCTAGAAATAGCCCTGTAAGACCGAGACAATTTAATTTATTTAATGCTGACTGTTACCTTTGAGCAGCACAAAATATACACATTACATTGATGGAATTAATGTCAGATAAAACAACAGACAATATAATGAATAGAATCCAAAGCTGGCACTGCTCGCTGGCATGCGGATTCTATCTAAAAACGTGAACTTGGGCTTTTAAATATGTCATAAGGCCTTTAGAAAATGTATTTGAAAGCTTAAGCTAGAAATTAGGTTAAAATGTCATTTTATTGCATAAGCTATTGGGCATTAAACAACAAATAATCTAGGGTTTATTTGGTATTAATAATTTAGGTGTCATATTAGCTGAATACTACCCTCTGTTATGGAACATAATATACTGTTGGGTTAGTGTCAATTTCTCAAATTCTTCCAGGGTGCCATAATGCATGTTCGACCTAATTTCTGTTACCCTTGGGGAGAAAACAAAACAAAACCCAGAAATGTGACATTAAGAAGAAATCTTAATGCTACAGTTCTCATGGACTTAACTCTTGTCATTTTAAGCCATGCCATAGTCAAATTAATTTTGTAAATGATTATCAGCACACAGTTATGTACAGTATGAAGTGACCGGCCCTCTAGTATAGTATGTGATAGAACTCTACGTGTTAAGTAGGTTTATATAGACACTAACGTGTGAAGATGCAGTGCCCTGTGTTCCTTAGTGCAAAGCTGTAGAGTAAAGATATGTTCACATATCTTTTCCTTAAAAATAATCCCATGCTAGAGCTGCAACTAAGCAGTGCAAAATTAATCGAAATTAGAGACACGATTCCAAAATGTACGGCAGTAACAACCAAAATCAGAATTTTTGTGTGCATTTCACTGACCTGAGAAACAGCAAGTGGATTCTGCCTGCAGTATTTGTACATCTGCTTATTAGGATGGACATTGTGTATATGTGTGTGTGTGGCTCAGCGAGATAGTTTTTATAGGTTTGATGATGTTTTCATGTTACTTGGCATCATTGCTTGGGCCTCGTCTGGCTTTTACCCCATGACACAAACCACTCAGAAGGTCCAGTGACACAATCTACCAGAATGCACAGTTGCACATCAATGAAAAAAAAAGTCATACAGAAAGTTAAAGCTGGAGGCAACCAGCTTTTTTTGTAGATTGCGCTGTTGAGACCCGCAGAAGCCCACGGCTGGTTATCATTCTGCAGCGAAAGGGAGATGAGGACTTTACGCTGGGACCCTCTCTACTGGGCTCTGGTGTGTTTTTTTTTTTTTTTTTTTTCAGGGGGATGAGCATCCTTTACTTATTTAACTCTTGCTTTAAGTTATGTGTGTTATAGACTTCTATGTTCATTGTAGTTACATCTACCTCTGGGAAATAAAAGGAGAGTTGCTTTAAGGAAGAGGATGGACATTGAAAGGAAACCATGTGATTTGAATTTTTTCAAGTTGCAAAAACGTCATTCCCCGTCCTACCCTTATGTGTAAAGGACAGTGAGTGTTGTGTAAATAGTAAACTATAAGAAGCATGAATCTTCATTTTTATTAGTGACCTTGACATGAGTGAGAGAATGCTTAATATAGAGCCAAGTACACTATCAAAAAATATTGTCTTTGGAAAATTTTTGTACAGTAACCTGGGGCATAGTTGTGATGAAAAGGCAAATGGGTTCCCTATTCCAGTCATACTTTATTATCAGGAAGCTATCAGTATTTTCTTTAAGAATGCAGGTAAATTTAATCTTGCACGTAACTTAAAAGTGGGTCCCTTGAGTGTTAAATCCTATGCAGGTGTAGCCTTGAGATCTTTTAGGTTGGTGCTGTTTGGTAGAACTTTAAGTGATGACGGAAAGGTAGAACGTATGCTGTCCAGTAGGATAGCCACTCGCCACATTGACTGATGGAAGTGGGGTTTGTGTTTTATTTAATTTTCAGTTATTTAAATGTAGTCACTTATATTGCTAGTGGCTACGTGTTGGACAGCACAGTTCTGGATGGTTGTGCAATGAGATCTAGCATCAAAATGTCAACGGAATTAGGCTAAAAGATAGTTTGTGGCATAGTAGCATGCAGTTGACCAAAAACTATTCCTTTCTGGGCTTAAAAAGTACATGATCTCAAGTATGACAATACAAATTCATTGATTGCCCTTTGGGTTATTACATAGATACTTTGGGCCAAGAAATGATCAGTGAAGCTTAAAGAGTGCTTTATGGAGCCCCTTTTCTGGATCATTAGCTGCATGTGAATCTATTGTCCAAAAATAATAGTTAGACAGTAGCTGTAAAACATTTGACTTGCAAGCTATGCATGACCTGTACTGTGAAATTGTGTTTAGGGTCTTGTGGCCAAAAAAGTAAATGTTAAAGAAAAAAAAAAGCCTAATGAAATCCCTCTTCACTTCTAACATCTTACTCAAATGTTGCTGCATTAGTAAGGTGTGGAAAACAAGGACAAGCATGTTTTGCAGTTCAGAGGGGGCGTTTTTATTTGTCCTTGAAGTCAGCCAACTTGTCACTGTATTTGGTGTGGATATATGTCAGTGTCATTTTTCAGATGCCAGACTAAAACATAGGTGCTAGAATAAGATTTGGCATTGCTGTAATCTTGTGTTTTTTTCTTTAATTTTATTTATCACACAAAGAGTTGAAGATTTGAAGCCTTGTATAAAAAGGCACTTAAAAAAAACACACATTTAAAAGCATTGCCCATGGAGTTTAAAAGCATGGAGGTTATTGAAGTTATTAAAATTGCCTTTTAAGCGAGTAAAGGGAAGCAGAAAATTGGGTTTGAGATAAATTTTCACAGAAAGGTCAGACTCTTCCTGACAGTACAGTACTTATTTCCATCTAGGTTTTGATTTTAAAAGTTCCCACTTTTTTGGGTTTTTCTGAATGCCACTTCTTTACTTCAACACTATACTGGGTCAGAATTTCTGAGTTTGCTTTTCATTGTCTCCAAACGTAAACTGAGTGCATTTCCTTCCAACAGAATTAGGTTGACTTCCTCTCCCCCCCAACCCTCCCAACTCATTTTATGGACATGACCGTTCTTTTTAGCTTGGCTTGAATACTTAGGTAACTTTTTTTTTGCCAAGACAATTATCTTTAGATTTAAGAGGTAATAGAGGTTTGAAGATGAGAGAACAGTACAAAAGATTTGAATTTCTGTTTTCCCTTCTAACAATGATGCTGCAGGCCAGTGAGCATTTGTTTCCCTTCAAGTGTCATCAGTCAGTTGGCCTGTCTGTCTTCCTTGATCTGGATGAAGCTCCACTGCCATCACTCTCAGTAAAACCTCAGCCACAAGGTGATCCTTACAAAGCAGAATGAGATTGTTAGGATAATTCTATTGAAAGTCTTTGCAGAAGTGATGGTTACTGAAGATTGTCAAACATGAAATGCTTTTCCAAAATCAGTGGAAATTCAAGCGATTGATTTTCTGGACAAGGCTGAGTCCCTAGCTATATTTATCTAGAAACTAGAGAAATCCATGTGTAGATACACAACATGCTTTAGCTAGAGTTGGAGTTAAAAGATGTCGGACTTGTTTTCCAATTGGTGGATATATGCTGTTGAATTTAGATGTTACACGTATTATGTCAGACTGACCCCCTCCGGAGGTGTCCGTATAACTAAACGCGACACTTCTCAACTATATGAAGAATGAGTTCTACTGTATACATTTTTTTGAGGAACATAAGCAGTGGACCATTTAGCTATCTTCCAAGTGGCTTTTTTTTTTTTTCCTGCTCAAGTGGGAGAACATTAGTATTCCTGAACTCTTGCAGTATGACTCCAACTTTTTGCTCAAGTTTCCTTACATGGTCAGCCAATGATTTTTTTCCTTGAGGATTCACTGCCTGGGGTAACCCACTGTATATCACTTTCGATGTCGTGGTGCTTGAAAACACGCACCTCATTATGATCTTTTTTAGGGACAATCAGTGATATTTGGGGCAAAAGACTGAGGGAATCTCTTCAAGTCTGCA